ATATTACATAAATGACTTAGATGAATATATGTATTTTGTAAATGACACAGCTCTTTGAAATGAATGAATCCTGAAGATTCACTTCCTTTCCAACAGCCATAAGTCCCATAACTAGTAACATTTGAATATTATTTTAAACATAAATATTCCAATGAAACGTATTTCTGTAAACATGCTGTATTACCAGCAGTACTTAGACTAATCAGTAATTCAGTAGTTATTGTGATCATTATATGCAGTAATCTTTATAGTTTTCCGTAGTAATAGTAATCAATAGTTACAGTAATTTATACTTATAGTCGTCAATAGGTATGTTTTTGTCTCCTTGTTGTGATGATGACTTCACGTTCACAGAAAATGACGTAATCTTTCCGGTAATGTGGAGAAACCTTCTCGGGGCGGGACTTCTGAGCCGCACGACAGTTACGCGTTGACGTCAGTTTCGGGGCGTGTCTATAAAGCCTTGTTTTCGCAGCTCTTGTCTCCATTTTGTGAGAGCTGGTGAGAACGAGCCGACCGGGCGTCCCAGCGAACAGAACCCACTAAAACAACCAGAACAGGAGAGAAAAGAGACAGTCAGCAGCCGAACCGCCCCAGAACCAAGTTATTATCCGAAAGGAAAGCAAATCTTATCGTATGTCCGCTATCCAGAACCTCCAAACTTTTGGTGAGTGCTTTTCTGTCGACGCAGAAGGTGGGGGAAGGGCGGGAGGATTTTGAGGATTTTGTTGTTTTTTGAATTGATTTCCTTTAATTCTGTCTTAAGTTGATATGAGCGGTTTGATGTTAAAGAGTAGAACTCTAAAAACGTTTTGTTGTTGGGTTTTATTTTCTATCGGGATTGAGGCCTTCAGACCAACATCCGCCATTACTGGGCCTAAAGAAGCTAACGGTCCCCGCTATTGAGGCTGTTAGCTCCCCGAACCGGGACCGCTCTGATCCCCGGGTCAATTAATAGGGCCAGTTATTGTAGATTTTGCGGAGTAAGTTTGAAATAATATCACCCTCATAAAAACGGATATGTCTGTTATTGTTCCGGAAGTTGGATCAGGTCCAGACCCGGTTCTGATCGTCTTGTTCTTTCAGACCCCTTTGCTGATGCAACTAAGGGTGATGACCGCCTCCCAGCCGGGACTGAGGACTACATCCACATAAGAATCCAGCAGAGGAACGGCAGGAAGACCCTCACCACTGTCCAGGGCATCTCGGCCGACTATGACAAGAAGAAGCTAGTCAAGGCCTTCAAGAAGGTAACATGTGGCAGCACATCTGGAGCTGCAGCCGTTTCTGCCCTGAACGTTTACCTGGTTGTGCAGTGAGCCAACCTGCAGCTTGTTTCTGTTAACAGAAGTTCGCCTGCAATGGGACAGTGATCGAGCATCCGGAGTATGGTGAAGTGATCCAACTTCAGGGAGATCAGCGCAAGAATATCTGCCAGTTCCTGATTGAGGTAGTTAGTCCTAGTCCCCTCTGCGGAGGTAGTTAGTCCTAGTCCCCTCTGCGGAGGTAGTTAGTCTCAGGTCTTCATGGCTCGCTCTCTCTCTCTCTCCAGATTGATCTGGCCAAGGAGGAGCAGCTCAAAGTCCACGGCTTCTAGACGCGGCCGGTGGCCCCCCCTCTCTCCTGGACGGCCATCGCGACCCCTGTAACCCTAACCCCCTCCTATGTGCTGCTGTTGCTCTTCCTCCCTCTCCTCCCTCCTCTGCGACCCCACCAGCTCCTCTTAGCCAGCGGGCGAATTACCTCTGAAGAACATGGGACTCTGTACCTCCACTACCGCCCTGCGACACCAGGGGGCAGTCTTGCTCTCACAAAGACACACCGCTGCAGCTCCACACATCAGGGATGAGTGGTGACGACCCTCCCTCACACACTTCCTCCTTCCATGTCCCTCTGGTTTTTCTTTTAGGTGCCACAAGGAGGCGCTGCTTCATGTAACGTTTTTGTTTTGTACTTTAAGGTGTTTCAATAAAACGATGAGTCTCCATTTGCTGGGTGGAGTGTTGTCCTGGGGGGTCGGGTCGGAGGCGTCTGATTGACCGAAAGGTTTTAGTTTGCAGCAAATGGTTTGGTTGTAGCTATCCAAGCCAGTTCACTGTGATGGAGCGGTTCTGGTGCTGACCCGCTTTCCGGTTCGATTTTAACTAAATGTGCTTCTGGATGAGCTTCATGTCCTAAAATGCAATAATTTATGCAGAAGTATTAAAGCCATGCTGACTGAGATGGAAGGTTTCAATAAAGCTTTTACAGCCGATTCTGTGTGGATGGTTCTGATCAATCTGGAGTGAAAATCCGATTTGCTCTATACGCTTACTGCAACTTATCAGAACCAGGAAGATCCAATCTGGGTTCATTTCAATAGTTTTCTCATTTAATCAGAACTTTTCTGGACCCAGTTAGAATACTGAAGCTAATTTCAGTTAAATGGATCAATTAAACATTTTCAGACCTGAAGGAAACTGGTTCTGTACCTGACAAACGAGCTTCAGCAGAACCAGACTTGTACTGAATCTGTTTGCTGGTTATTTCTCTCGAGCTGTAAAAATAGGATTCAATCCTGGCAGCACTGTGTTAGCAGAGGTTCTGTTGACCTCCTGACCCCAGTTTAACTCCAGAGAACAGAGTCTGTTTAAAGATGGTGGTTCTGGTCTGGCCGTGTTCAGAACCAGCATCTGGTTTCCTTTCAAATAAAGGTTTAAACAAAACTTTTTTTTAACAGACCTAATAAATATGTATTACAAGTTTATGCTTTATAAAAAAGTAAATTAAGGGGGAATAATGCTACATTTATGAATTACCTGACAGATTACTTTGACTTGCTTTTTCTTCATGGAGTCCCACATATTAAATTGTTTCCAACACTTAAGATTTGGTTACATTTTAGAAAATTTCCTCCTTTGAATAAAAATTGCCCAATTAAATTTAAAATCATTCAAAAACCCCTCTTTTTTTCTTCAAAGTGAAAGGGCAAAAAAGGAAGAAATTTCGCTCTCACCTCTTCGGTCCCTCGCAGGCTTCCGTCGGTCTCCATGGTAACGTTTTTGATGCCGCCATCGCTCGTTTGTTTTCGCTCTTCCTGCTTTTCTTCGACATTTCAGGATGAGGAAGAAGAAAAGCGACTTTATTTGGTTTCTGTTAGACTTGAGTTTCACTCTCTGAGCGGTGAGTTTAAATTGTTTCCAGAAAAGGTTCGGTAGCGCCGGTTCTGTTCATGTGGACCAGGTCCGGTTCTTTTTAGGGTTCTAGATTAGCTTTTTCATGCGAACAGTCTCCGGAGTCTGGAGCTGAAGTTGGCCTCTGATTGGGAGGTCGATTAAAGTGTTATTTCACTGATTTTAAGGTAAAACATCTAAAACAGGAGAAACATGTTAACCCTGAATGCATCATCGATAGTGATACATAATCGAACATTGATGATCTGGCGGTGATTGCTGTTTCAGGCTCAGGAATCTGTTGAAGGTTCTGCTCCAGACGCAGGAGAAGACGCAGCATGCAGGTCAGCATCTAGAAAAGAAACATCTAGAGCAGGGGTGGGCAGCTCCAGGCCTGGAGGGTCTCCTGCAACTTTTAGTTGCATCTCTGCTGAGTCAAACAATGAGGTCGTTAGCAGGACTCCGGAGAACCTGACTGCTCTGAGGAGGAGATTCAGCTGTTGGACCAGGGAGACGTCTAAGAGTTACAGGACACCAGGACCAGGATTGCCCACCCCTGGACTAGATTGAGCAGGCCTGAAGATCTAGAATTGGTGGATCTATACTAACAGATCTATACTAGTGGATCTACACTACACTCTAAAAAGTGTTTTTGGGCTGTAGTTCATCTTATGGACTTATTTACATTAATTTAACTTAAT